TCCAGTCTTAGGCATATTTGATCCTGGGAGTACAATTAAATATTCTCTCTTTAATAGCAAGGGAGTACTTTATCTTCTGAATTGTCTGCACACCTATGTATACTTTACGGATTAGCGAGTATGTCTGGAAATACTGTTGGGACTTAGGGAAAACCAATTGGTTCTCTTGAGTGCTGGGTAAAACATTTTATGTTGGGTACTCAGTCTGTTGAGGACTCACAATTTTCTGAAGGATGGACACAATGAAATGATTGTATTTTTGTGATAATTATTCCCTCAACTGCTTAATAGTGCTTGCTGTTCAGGCAGTTGGTCCAGATTGCCCTATCTTTATAGTGTAGAGGAGTGAGTTTTAGATTGGAATGTCGTTTACATGATTGAGGTGTCTTTATCTCAAAGTGAATTTCTCCAGTTTGTCCCAGAAAATATTGTCTCTTGTTTTCTCATTCTCTCTCTCTCTCTCTCTCTCTCTCTCTCTCTCTCTCTCTGTGTGTGTGTGTGTGTGTGGTGTGTCTGTGTGTCCGTGTGTATATATTGAAGGGTCATGAAGTAACACCTACTTGATTCTCAGGTCCTATTGTGCTTCTCCCTTCTATGTAACAACATCCCTTCATGGCCCTATGAGCAGGTTGGGCATTACAGGGAAGGGAAAGTCCCTTGTAAATCAATATTTAGCCTGATGATGTTGATAGCCTGTTTACCCACCAGCAATTGTCGCGACCGGCCTTTGCCGATAAGGACGACGCAACAACCGAGGATTTCTTCAGCGGCAAGTTTATTGTACAGCTCTTTCTTGCAGATGGTGAAGGACCCAAACCCCTGGCAGCGCCCCGTTTAAATAGCCAGCAAGGCGACCTGTCCGTCTGTAATTGGTGCTCTGCTCGAGTCCTCATCAGTATATGGCTGGCAATTGGATTGCAGCCTAAACCCTCATCAACATAAAGCTGCGCATGCGCAAATCGCAAAGCAATGCTGACAAGAAGCGCGAAAATGCTGGCAAGAAGAACCAGGAAGCAGGAAGCCGGCGCCATCTTGTAATGGCGGGAGCGGCTCCCGACAAGCAATTCCCTTAGGCCCTGGTAGGTCCTAAGCTCACAGCTTTTGTCCTACTCATCTGGTGTTTTCTTCCCCTCTTGGTTTTCTGCTTTGGTGATCCTGCCAAGCCTAAAGTGCACACATCTTCCCCGGCCTCCACAGACAACTGTGTGGCTGGTGAACTTCAATTTCCACCCTCCCCACACTGGACAGTTTGCAGGGAGAGGGAAAGAAAAAAGCCAATGATGGCCCCTCCTCAGGAACTCATGTGGTGTCTCCCCAATTTCTTCAGTTCTATTCAGAACAGTAGAGAGGCAGCAAGTCCTTAAGAGGCAAAGGTCCAAGCTAGACACCAATTCCCTTTCCCTCTGTGCAGGGCCTCTTCTCTTTGTAAGCAATTCTGTGGCTCCACAAGATATACTTTCACCAGCCCCATCACAGGGTCCTTGGTGTGCTAGTTGGATATCTGTCTCTTTCACTTCACAGCCCACATGGTGCTCAAGGAAAGCCCCAGCTGTTTTTCTACACTGAGTGAAAGGTCTGGAAATTTGTAAAGAAGCACTCTGTCCATTACAGGGTTTCTAAAAGTAGGAGTAAAAGGTTGCCGTAGAACTGTCAGGCCTAGACCTCCTCTGTTTGGCACAGATTGAGAAAAAACGGACGGTGAGACACACAGATTGAGTCATGTCTGGTTCCTCTTATTCATCCTCTCCAGTTTCTCTGCCCTCTTCAATCCCTCTGCAATTAGAGGCAGAGCTACTTGCTCTTTCTGCTCACATTTCTTTCTCTCTCTGTCTATTTACCCAAGTGACAACTTTTAAATTTGAACTGGAGAATCAGCACCTTTCATCTTTGAGGTGCCCAAATTCCAACAGCCATTCTCAATTTTGGGAAAGCATCAATATCACCTAGAGAGCTTTCAAAACGTAAATCAAATTAGATTATCTGCAGCGGGAACCCAGGTACAGAAGTGATGCAGAGCCCCTCATTCGGTCCTTATATTCACAATGCTGGGAGTCAATGCTTCATGAGTGCCAACGGGACAGGAGGAGGAGAACAAACACATTGGTGAATACCACAAAATGCAGAGAGCTAGGCACAGCCCGGCTAAGAAACTTATATTGGGCTGTAGAGCTGCCAGTTTTCAGAGTGGGAATCTAATGGCTCCCCAAAGCTCTGGTCGATGCATTAGTTAGGGTTGTGAGTCAGAGCAATGTTTTCTGCCTATCCTTTCTCATTTCTATGCCTGCTGTGCCCACATCCCATGGGCCTCCTCAGTACTGTGCATTATCAATGGCTTAGAGCTGCTTCAGCACCCCTTTCTTTTGGACATTGAAGCTGTCCTCTGCATCACTGCCTCTTCAGAATGTCCCTCTTGGAGTGACGCAGAACCCACTGACTCAGTCTCACCCCTGTGTGTTGTAACCCATGTGCAGCAGCTAAAAAGATGAGGAACGTGTTAGCTTAAGCTTTCAAGAGGCTGAGGAACTCCATGATTGTGAGAGGGAAGGAAAAGGAAGGGTTCCAACTGAGCCTCTTATGCATTGACTTGAATCGCATTCTCTCAGCTAAGTCACAGCTTGGTGGTCTTCTGGTTTGAATGTAAAAATGGTCTCCAAAAGTTCACATGGTTGAACTCTTAGTCTCCAGGTGGTAGGGCTGATTTGCCAGACTGTGGGAACTTCGAGAGGGGGGGGGCTTGTAATGGAGGAAGGGAGTGAGGAAGGCAGGTCTTGTCGGTTATAGCTAAGCCACAGCGAATAGACTCTCAGAGGTGGGAAAGAGAGATCTCTTTCCCTCCCTCCATTTCTCTCCCCCTCCCTTTCTATCTCACCCCTCCTCCCTTTCTTCCTCCTTTTCTTCCCCCTTCTTCCCTCCACCTCCCTCCCTGTCTCCCTTCCTCCCTCCTCCCACTCTCCCCCACTCCCTTCCTGTATATACTGAAATGCAAGCAAGCAGCCTCATGCTTCTCCTGATACAACCATATACACAGCCACTAACATACTGCCTCTGTCATCATGGGCCATGTCCCCTCGTACCTTGAGAAAAAAAAAAAAAGTCGCTTCTTGTCTGGTATCTGACCAGTGACAACAACAAGAAAGATAACAAATACAGGGGTCATACAACTAACTTGGATAATTTGGCATCCTTCAAAACTTAGCTGAGGTGAAACAAATTTTCTCTCGAAGGTCTGATTTCTGCGTTCAGCCATGAATGCAGGCACCGGGCTTGACCTGCACAGCACTCAGAACCTCACACTGCTTCATGAAGGACCTGTTTAGCCTTCCTTTTCCACAGATCATGAACCCCTTGAAAGTGATGAAGAGAATCATGTCCTTCATCGTAGCCTTGGAATCTTGCCAAATTCTTGACATAAAGAACGAATGCCCAAGTATTATCATCATTAAAAAAAAAAAATGACCAAAATGTTAAATGGGAAGTAGCTTAAAGTTCTAGCAATCAGAAATGAGTCAGAGTTCAGATGACAGTAGATGGCTTAAACAGAAAAGTCAGGAACTATTTTTAGCTCATTTTAACAGCTGGGAGTCAACCATAACCCAATGTTTAATTTCTAGGATTAAGAAGACCAGAAAAACTGAATAGACTCTAAAAGTGATTTAATCATCCATTTGCCACTTTATAACTGCCTGGGTCACTTTCTTAAAGTCATTATAGGGTAAACATTATGAAAATGATTAAATACCCGGTGTGATCTTCAGCACGAAACTGAGAAGAACAAACACACACACATAAACCAAAACAAAAAACACTGACATGTTTGTCTACATGCCACAAAGCCATTAGTATGCTTTCTTTCAAGGAAGGTACACGGTTCCATTCATAGGTTTAGCCTGTAAGTTTGGGAGTAACTTGGGTATGGAGAAACTGTGATTTATTGATTGGTTATTCACTCTTTCCTGAGCTGTAAATCTGCTTGAGGATCTTCAATAGAAACTACGAGGGGCTTAGTACAACAGTAACCACCTTCGACTTCACCAGACCTCCTCACTATGAAGAAAGAGAGTAACACCCCCTCACGCAAAAAACAAAAAACGAGAATTTTGTAAGACCAAGCATGAGAAAAGTCTAGATTGTATTTCATGGAAGTCAGTGAACTGTCAAGACAAAGGAAGGCCGTGGAGCAGGGGTGAAGGTGTAAGCTGTCATTCCCGTGCTCTGCGGGCTTTCCAGCTACATCCTCAGACAAGCCTTGACACAGGGCTGAGCTTTTAGTCTTCTCTGAAAAGGACTTCCCTACCAACCCAGCCAGCAGCACAGCCTACAGGCTTCTGGATAACCAGGCGCGTGTCCTGTCAGTGTGTCTTAGGTTCCATGTTACTATGTTCCTTTTTACTCAGATTTTCTTCTGACACTAAACCCAGCAACTGTTCTGTCATTTGGAGTCATAAACAAAAAGTGTCTAACTACCGCAGTCCCCTGACTCAGAAGCCAGCCCCATTGTTTCCGCTCTCGTTTTGATGTTTTTGTTTCTTACTTTGGTTGGAATCTGGATCCACGTACAACACCAGCGTGACGTCTAGTGTCCCTAAGTGCAATAGGGTGTGATGAACTTTACAGAGGAGGTATACACATTACATAACCTTAATCAACTGTGTTTTGGTCTATGTGTGCTCAATGAACCAGTTACATGAAGCAAGGGTTCTTTGAAGAGGCATATAAAACAAAGTTATGTAATGGTCAGTTGACACAAATATGATACCGGGACTCCCAGGAACCTAACACTACTATCTCCACCAGGTCCAATGGCTCAGCATTGTACCCTTTATCCTCCTATTGTCTCTTGTATTAAGCATCTCTGGGCCCAGTTGGTTTTCAGGGCTTTTTGCCGTGCTGGAGGGGTGAAACCGCCCACCGGGTGCGCGGAGCGGCCGGCAGGTGGCGCCCGACCTGGCGTTCCTGGCGGCGCTCCGAGGACCAGGTGGACTGGAAGGGGCGGAGGGAAGCAGCAGCGGCCAGTGGTGGCGGCCCGCGGTCCCCCGCCCCCTCCACGCAACGCTCGCGACACGGGCACGAGCGCCGGGGCTCGCTGTCCTCCGAGCTCGGGCCCCACTGCCGTCTGCTCCACGAGGAGCCCGCGTGTTCCCCGCCGCTCTCGGCTCCACGTCGGCCACCATGGAGGCACAGGCACAAGGTGGGTAGCGGCCGGCCGCCGCCGAGGTCTGCTCCCGAGGCGCACGGGAGGAGACGCTCTCCCTGCGGTGCCTAACTTTACTCCTGGACCGACAGGGACGTCCCACGCGGACGGAACTCCGCGCCCACGCGCGCCTTCGGGATCACGCTTGCATCCACAGCCTAACTCGGCTTTTGCAGTGGGGCTGGGGCTGGGAAGAGGTCCGGACCCTAAAACGGTGTAGCCTGTCCCTGGGGATCCGGTCCCTGTCTGCACTACCCGTCTCCGCAGTCAGTCGCCCCCACTTGGCCATCTTGGAAGGTGCCCAAAGGACCTGTTGTGCAGGCTGCGGGTCGCTCCACTGTGGGCTCGCGTCCTTGGGATCACAAGTGCGGCTTGGGGAGGTGACGCGGAGAGGTGGTGGCTCGGTGGAGACCCTGCTAGTCAAGCAAGGGCTGCAGGAGGGAGGGTTGGCCTTCGAAAGAGAGGGTCACAAGCCCCCCTTCCCGCTTCCCCGCCTCCCGACCTCCAGATAACCGCGTCCTGGTTTTCCGCGGTCAGGGATGAAACCCTCCTTCCCCAGCCGCGCCGGGCGCCAGGCTTAATTAAGGGCTGGCCTCTTGCTCGCTCTCGGTGCTCAGGGTGTCCTCTGGAGGAGTTCAGAGAACTCTAGGGTCGTTCAAGCATAAGAGTAAAGGGATCTTAGAAGGGATCAAAGGTGGGCAGATGTGCAGCGAGAGGAAGGGAGGAAGAAAGCGCTCAGAGACCCACTTTGGAAGCAGCACTCAGAAGGAATGGGTTGTATTAACACCATCAGGACCACCGAGGAATTCTGTGGTGCCTTTAAAAGTACGTAAGAGCCCTAATAATAATAATAGTAAAAGAAAATGAAGTAAAGAGGTTCACGACCTCATGTGCTTGTGTTCTAGGGGAGAAGGAGTCTCTAATGAAGGCAATTTGGGCAGTGTGTAGGTCTGCAGTCACTCAGCTGGCTCACGGCCAGGATCACAGTAGTCTGAACAGCATGAACCATACTCTTGGTCCCATCAGCCAGGTCCTGCCGGGAAGTTGCAGCGTCCAGTTACCCTCCCCCTGCCCCATTATCTTAATAGGAAAAGAAGAGTTCAACTGAAGACAGCCCTGAACCCTAGAGGGAAATTGTAAGGCCCAGTGCAAGAGTCTTGTAGTGGGAAAGTTGGGGTTCCACCTCCCAAAGCGCGAACAGGTGTGGCTGTGCAGCCAGTGGGCAATGTGGGACGCACTGATGGATGCAGGGTTACTCGGAGAAGCATCGGGAAGGAGTAAGAGGGATCTCTTCTGGTTTCTTTGGGTAACACACACACAATCTCTCGAAAAAAAATTTCAAAACTCAAGGATGCTCACGGACCTCTTATTCGTCTCCTGCGTACTTTCGATAGTCTCCAGATCACTTATTAAGCTGATCCAGCCAAATTCATGAAAAAATTTTATATTGTATTTATTTAGAAAATATTGACAACTGAGAAAAGTCAGATAGTTGGTTTTTGTTTTGTTTTTTTTTTTTTTCCAGAGTATTATATATCTGTAATATCCAAGTCTGAAGACCCCACGGATATGGGGTCAAGTGGACGGGGCTGACCTCTTATCGGTTGCTTTGGAATCCCTGAGGTCTAAGCATGAGTATACTTGAAAGCTATCCAAGCAATTCTATTATTCAGTGGTAGGAAATGAATTATAATGATTAAGAAACAGCCACTTGAGTTCTGAAGATTCCTGATGCTGTAGACTAAGGAGCACAGATGTTACTAGCTTGCTTCATCGCCGAGTAAATATCTCAGTGCTTTCCTCTTCCAAACACAGCATCCGGAAGAGCAAAGCCAGATTTCTACTTCATGAAAAACTCGGACCACACGCTACAGTGTGAGCATAGACTTTAGGCCTAGTTGTCAATAGTCAGAATAACGTAGGCTGTTTATTTCATCCCTTCTCTAGTCACAGCACCTTTTATGTGTTGACTCGGACCATGTGCATAGCAGCCTAGGAGGTAGAGTTCTCATTCCCATTTTGCAAAGGAGATGAGAAAGTAGCTATATTCCTTGTTTATGGATAAATGGGCATCAAATAGCAAAGATGGCTTTGGGAGAGGCCACCCACTCAAACCCTGGACTTTAAAGGAAAGATAAGACTCAAGACAGAACTGCCTCTTCAGCCGCCCTACAACAGCCTCTCCCTCCCTCATGGCTGGATGGAACTGGCTTGAGCACTAAATGACTGTTTGCTCTTAGATTCTCAAAAAGCCCTGTGATGTCCAAGGTGTAAGCTTCTCCCTGTGGTTTCCTTTAGGATTTTCTGAACTAGAGATGGCTTGTCTCTCTTCTCTTTTTGCCTGTAAATGTAAAGGAAGGCAACCGTGTATGAGATTAGGCAGGCATTTAGTGAGTCGAGGCCGCTTGTTGCTCACAGGTGCTGTAGAGATGGGTTATCCATGTAGCTCAGGGATGCAGAAGAAGGTCTGTGAAAATCTTCTGGTAGTGAAATTCTTCAAACACATTCGTTGGCTTTGTGGAAGGATTAAATTGCTCCCAGAAAAAAAAAGAAGACATGCTAAGAGGTTGGCAGGATGGGGACAGGGAACTGTGAGTGAGTGATTTAATGGAAAGGGCTGGCGAGTCGAGTAGAGCAGGGAACCCACAGGAGGACAGCACCGCCGGCTGGAGAAGTTTGCCTTCACAGAGTTGATACACGGTCTCTGACTTAGTGTGTTTCTGGTGAAGGTGTTTCAACTTTACAATGGTGTGAAAGAGCTAGGTATGCAGGACTGTATGAAAACTTTAATGTTGATCTCAGGCTTGTGGTTCAGCACAGTATTTATTATGGTTTTCATATGAGTTATCATTCTGCAGTCCCCGCATCGTTGGAAGCTTGATTTCTCTAGGGTGTTTGCAGTCTTTGAGAGGTGTTTCAGGCAGGAGGACTGGAGCCTAATCAAGATGTTGATCTATTGATGGTTTCATAATTTGATGACAGCACTGGGAGTTGGTGGGAAATGAGACCCGGATAAGGAAGTGGGTTGCCGAGACTTTTCCTTTGAATGGAATCCTGCTCTGCTTCCTGCTTGCAAGGAGGGAGGCAACTGCCTTGGCACATTGCCCCATCACAGTCCAACAGCAATAGAGCAAGCTGGCTGGGCACTAGAGTTGCTGAAACCATGAACCAGAGTCTAACTGACCCGTCGTATTCTGATAATTAGATTATGGCACCAGCTGCGTTTTCTGGTCTACCACTAGATGACACGAATAACAGCTGACAAGCGGCAGTGGACAATGGTGCTAAGCTATGATATTTAGTAGTTTGAATGGCTTCAAAGTCTTCTCATCATACGGCACTTTCAGTTTATGATGTGTGTAGTGGGGCATGAGTTCACAGTTAAGTTGAGCAGCACCTGGAGTAAGAGACTTTGGTTAGGAATGTAGCATGCTCCTGCCTGTACAGCAGCCATTTAAAAATGAAAGTTCTTGATTCCTTTCAACTGAATCCTAATGTTTTATTTCTCTAAATTCAAATAACTTCACTTTCATTATCTTTCCCAGTTTTTTTTTTTTTCCTAAAAGGAAAACCTTGTCTTTAACACTGGCCTATCAAATTAACTGCTGGCTTTAGCTTCCTATAGAAAACAAACTGCTGCAAACTTCGCAGCTGAAAATAAGACAATTCTAGAGACCAAAGAGACAAAGTCACAGAGTTGAAGCCATGCCTTACCTCTACCAGCCTCAGGTGGTTGCAAGTCTTGTCTGGCTGTATTACCAATCTTTACTTCTAAAGTCACAATGCTTCCCCCATCCTGAGTTTCTGCCTGTCTCTTATAAAAAATTGTGATAGTATTAAGGGCTCACCTGGCTAAATCTGGCTAAATTGCACACCTCAAGAACATCAAATTAACCACATCTGTAATGATAACATTTTGTATTAATTAGTATTTGCAGGTTTCAGAGTTTAGGATTTGGGCACCATTATTCAGTGTACTACAATAACTCCTTTTTCTTTTCTTTTTCTTTATTAATTACACTTTATTCACTTTGTATCCCCCCTGTGGTTCCTTCCCTCTTCCTGTCCCTTCCTCCACCCTCTGCATGCAAGTCCACCCTCCTCCCCAAGTCCACTGATAGGGGAGGTCTTCTTTTCCTTCCTTCTGATCCTAGTCAATTAGGTCTCATCAGGAGTGGCTGCATTGTCTTCTTCTGTGGCCTGGTAATGCTGCTTCCCCCTCAGGGGGAGGTAATTAAAGAGCAGGCCAATCAGTTCATGTCAGAGACAGTCCCTGTTCCTATTACAACGGAACCCACTTGGACACTGAACTGCCATGCGCTACATCTGTGCAGGGGTCTTAGGTTATTTCCATGCATAGTCCTTGGTTGGAGTATCAGTCTCAGGAAAGACCCCTGTGCTCAGATTTTTTGGTTCTGTTGCTCTCCTTGTGGAGTTCCTTTCCTTTCCAGATTTTACTTTCCCACTTCTTTCCTAAGACTCCCTGCACTCTGCCCAAATGCTGCCCATAAGTCTCAGCATCTGCAGTGATAGTCTGTAGGGCAGAGCCTTTCAGAGGTTCTCTGTGTCAGGCTCCTGACTTGTTCCCTCTTTTCTCCTTATTCTGATGTCTAGCCTCTTTTCCTTTCTGGATAGGGATTGAACATTTTAGCAAGAGTCCTCCCTCTTGATTAGTTTCTTTAGGTGTACAGATTTTAGTAGGTTTATCCTATATTATATGTCTATATGAGTGAGTATATACCGTGTGCATCTTTCTGCTTCTGGGATAGCTCACTCAGGATGATCTTTTCCTGATCCCACCATTTACCTGCAAATTTTATGATTTCCTTGTTTTTATTGCTGAGTAATATTCCATTGTGTAGATATACCACAATTTGTGCATCCATTCCTCCACTGAGGGGCATCTGGGCTGTTTCCACCTTCTGGCTATTACAAATAAAGCTGCTACAAACATGGTTGAGCAAATGTCCTTATTGTGTACTTGAGCCTCTTTTGGA